ATAGAGTATATTTATTTTTGTTAAACTTCTGACTTGTGCTCCTTTGTGTGGTTTGTTTTTTTTTTTGCACTAGCCCACATTCCGTCCCCCATTCGCCCCGTTGACCGCAATTCATGCTGCTTTTTGCTGCTTTTGCTTTTGCTTTTGCTGCTTTGTTGTGACAATTTCTGCGTAAAACATAATACATACAGTGGGACAGCCAGCTAAGCCATGACTAAGTTGTTGTTGGCCAAGTTGCTGGGAAGGTTACAAAAACTCATTTCGAGTGCCCGGGCACCAAATGGTTTTTTAATAACGGGCCTTGACGACGGCGGGTTGAACAAAAATTATTCACTTACAGATAATAAGATTGGATTTGGATTGTTTGGACTTCGGAAAGAAACACCCAGCTACAAATTGGCAACTTTGGTATGAGCTCACTGTTGTAACCCAACCCTTTTTCTCAGTATTGATTTGTATGTTATTTCTCCTTAAAAACTGTACACCTTTTGGGATTCCCCTGACTATTTTAAATGGTCTAGTCGATTATGCTTTTCCATATACATAAATATGTATGGTTCGTAAGAAATAAAAATATTCATTTACATATGTATGTAAATGTGTTTATATCAAAGCTGAACGAATCTTTTTTGGATTTAATCAGAATGTCTATTTTAAGATACTCAGTTTGCGTTTTAATTTCCAGTGAATACAAATAAAATGACCTTTCCTGCTCCACTTTTGAAACCCCATTTCTGTTAAATTTTGTATTTATTCTGCATATTTTTCCACTGAAATTTTGAGGGTGGTGAATCCCCCCGTTCATTAGAGGCAGTCAGAGTCCCTTATTAGCCATTCAAACCACTTTGAGTTGTTGGCTTTCTTTCTCCCATGCCCATCCGTCTCCGCCCGGCTACATTTATCAACATTTTTACCCCGAACAAGTTATGTATTAGATCATTATCCGCATTTGGATTTCTGACGAAATTTCGCATTGTCTGCAACGGCGCAGAAAAACTTCAGCTGCTCGCTGGCTCCGCGTGGCAACTGGAAAGAGTGGAATACAAATAAAACTAAATGTTAAGAGCGGAGAGCCCAGGAAAAGTTCAGCTCGACGAGCCCTCGAAACACTCTGCTGATAAAAATGCACGAGGTTGTATGTGGTGTGTTAGTTTACCCGGAGTTTCGGTCCCTCAGACAGCCTGCTGCTACTCATTGTCTGAGTGACTCATGGAACGCCTTGTCCTACCTACGGATACCCTCCCTGTGTACTGAGCGAAAAGAAGAGCTAAATCTAAAAAAAATTTTAAAAACAATTAAAAGACTAAAATAGCTAATCTCTTATTATTATGTATGTCTTATATTAATTGTTTAGTAGATTGTAAAACACTTTTAAGAAATCCTTGTTTTTCAGTTCCTTTGCCATTCTGTTTTATCCTTATAATTCCCAAAGTATTATTATGGAAGGTCCCGAACAGTGTCAGATCCAGAATTTGAAAATGGGTACACAAAAAAATGTGTTGAGTGGAAATCAAAACTTTTGAATAAAAAAAACTGTACACATACTTTTTAACGCGAGTATATTTATTTTAGTTACTATATTATTACAATTAATATTAAATAAATAATTAATATTAAAGAACCAAAAATACCTAGCCTAAATATAAAACCCCCTGATTTCAGATCAAAACCATCCACCCACCAAATATTTATTTTAACTACTAGATTATTAAAATTATTTAATATATAATCTATAATATTTTAAGAAAACCAAAAATACCTAGACTAAATTTAAAACCCCTTGATTTCAGATCGGTTTCTCCTTAACCTTTTTTCTATTTTTTCGGTGTATCTGTCCAAGCGGATCCAGTCCCTCTTGTTAATCCCGAGTTCGGCGGTTTATCTGCCGTTTCAGTTTTGTATTTCCATTGAAAAATTTTGTTACTGGCCTGCCGCTGTCTCATGCGGGTCTCTTGGAATCTGAAGTTGAATCTTGAGTTCAAGTCACTCTTTTTGTATTTCATCATAGTCGTAAATATACAGCAAAGGTTGCCGTAGCCACCGAGTCTCTCGGTTAGGGGAAATATATAATAATAATCTGCGGTTAAATGCAAACGATCGTGTCATACGTTAGCCAGAATGTATTGATTACTCACCCGATGAAATCGTACGATTTGAGTGGAATAAATTGCCTGTAGCACGTGCGGCATGGAATCGTGTATGGAAAAGTATCTGTATCTATAAAAGTGTGCAAATTACCGTTAGACCCAGTCAGGCCAACGGTGAATACGAATTGAATGGCTGGGGCCTCATTGTCCGTCGGACACTCTATAATTTGAACGGCAGTGCCCCCACACATGTCGTTTTCCAGCTAAAACACTTAATTTATAATTTTTCAATTCTCGTTAAAAAGCTGCAATTTTGACTGTTTACTGTTTGTGGGTCGCATTTCCGGGAAGTATGTTTAATATTTTCCCTTCCATTTTTTGGGAAAAAGTTGTGAAAATATATGCACTGTTAATTGCTTGGATTGTTCGACAATGTTTTCTGTACTGTTTGATTAGGCCCAAACATACATGTCATCATATTGTATGTGTATGCGGCTCGTTAGGTGATTAACACTAGGGAATTCCGTGGAAATCGTTCAGGGTTGATAGCAGCTGAGGAGGTCGAACAACTGTCGATAACTTTAAAGAGATAAACGTTTGCCTGCCATCAATGTTCCAGCGAATTCGCTATTTGGCCCACACCAAATCAAATCGAATTATACATATATGAACATTAGCTGGGGATTTCTGCAAAATTCCTCATTGCAATTGCCCATGATTCCCAGAATTGATAAACATTATTTCCGTTTAAGTCCTGCCCCGATGTATGTACATACTTCTATGATTACATATCGCAGCCTTGTTCTTGGTAATTTTTAATTAATCGCTGCGATAAACAATCTTGGTTAAGTTCACATAAACAGCGCGATTTTAATCGTTAGTGCGAAGATTGAATTTATGGTCAAAACAAGACGTGTTTTATTGGAAAGCACTTGCTTATTTAAGGGCCCTACTCTTGCCAAACTCACTTCAGAATTTCGCAATAGATTAGAAGCAACTAAAACTTATATTTCCATGAATTTGGTTAGGAGAATTATCTTCGTCTACCAATAAATTATAGGTTTCTAAGAGGTTGTACTCATAGTGCAGTTCCAAATACCAAATACAAATTTATTGAATAAATACTTTTTTTTTAAACTGATTTTTTATTAAGTATTTAAAGTGATTCAGAACCAGAGAATATTACATTTTTCTTTTAAGCTAAAAAAAACCTTTTGCAAACGTCTTGTTTCAAATCTAAGGTTAGTCAAAAACATAAAATGAATGACGTTTCCTTCGGAAGTGTACATTTTTCAAATTTTTTTTTTTTAACTTAAATTCTGCTTAATTAAAATTCCTAGAATTGACTGAGCCTTAAACAAATAAATATTAAATATGATTTCGACGGTCAAAAGTCACACTTCAATATAAATCATAGCGTCCAGATTTCTTTATTTTAAAATATTTTTGAATTTCCGAGAATTCAAAATAATTAACAATTGTTGTGTATTTTTTTAAAGTCATGTCAAGAATTTCCTTGATATGTTTATTCTGGAGAAAAACCTTCTGAGTTTATACATTTCAAATACCCATAAAATCACCAAGTTAGAGGATTCAGTGAATTCCTGGAATAACTGCTGCGGCTACACCATGACTGATCGCTGACGATCAATCAGAGGTTTTATTGGCCAATGATCTAATTATTTCGCCATTAAGGGAAACGACCACCTGCAGAATTCGATTAAGAAACCGCAGTGATATTGCTCACAGTCGTAGTCAGTCATATTACGCGATTTCGGGTAACTACCTAGAATTTCCACCACTAAAAGATGACTCAGTATATAGTATAAACCGTACCTTAGCTCCTTTTTATATGGCCAACTTCGGAACTACATAGATGACGCACCTTAGTGATGTGGGTGCGATAAGGACTTGTCGCTGCGCGAATTCAATTACTCAGCGGAAACCCACTTCCCCCGTAGACAAAATGACATGCCCACGAATTAAACCGAATTTACCAGTGAATAATAACAGATTTTCATTGAATGAGTGCTTACTGTTGGCGCCTGTTTCGGGTTTTCTAGTAATAGAGATAAGCCAACATGACCCAGAAGTCAGTCATATGTAATGTGGGGTTTTTGAGGTTGGTGGGGGGCACTACGTGCATGGCGTGGTGTGTACTTACTTTCCACATTGATTTCATCAGCTCTCCATGGGCGAATATCTAAAAATAGGATGAGCCCATTACAATTTGCTGTGTATTTGTGCGTTTGTACTTGCTCTTCTGGGGGGAATTGATGCGTGGGATTGGAATGCCATTGTTTATCGTCCTCATCTGCATGACGAGATCCCCAGATCCCTACCTCGATGAGTCAATTTGCGGGGGATATGAACATGTATATCGCCCAGAAGATCAGCTGGGGGGAATACCATTAATCAGTAGTTAGACAATAGCATTTAATTGCCCATTTGACCGGAGAACGAACGAGAGTCCCTTTGCCACTGGAGAATTGGTGAACTTCTCCGCCAGTCTAAGTGGGTAATTAATGCACTGGTGAAGCCCCCACCAAGTGGTTCTTTGCTGTAGGTCAAGACATTTCACACGCCGCCGGGGAAACTGGGCAAAACTCGTTCCACTCGGCTCCCGGCTATTTCTGGATCTTGCGAAATGTCCAAAGAGTAAATATTGAAAACGAAACTTGCTAACTAAGCTAGTCAATAGTTAAGTTGAGATTAACGGGGGTTCCTCTCTTACATGCTAATAGTTACCCAAAGTAATATACTCTCCAGACATCAAAAATTCCGTTTCTGAATGTAACCAAGCTATAGGCTATTGTTTTACTGCTTACCTTCTTATATCAATCCATAAAATATTTTCTAATTTCCTTTTTAATTTAATACTAACGTCATATCTATATTATTTCATCATTCCAGAAAGCAACCGGTAAAACCCACCCAAAAAACCTATAGACCTTCCAATGGGCCATTATCTCAGCAAGCCCTCTGTACGCGCCAATAGCCAGGATAAGAGCGATCTGCCCGTGAGTTCGAGCCCCAGGGAATCCGCAGCACTAGTGGAGACAATTGGTCTGGACGAGGAGGAGCTGGAAGAGATCTACACGGAGGCCACGTCCGTCACATCGCCGGCGGAAGTGCGTCAGATCATAATTAAAATCCAGTTGGCCAAAATGGAGAACGGCAATGCAGCAGGTCAGGTGGCACCTGGTCACCTGGATGAGGACGTGGTGCAGGTGGAAGGGGCCACAGACGCCTCGGTGTCTGCGGACACGCTAAATGCAAATGGGCAGATTGTAAATGTGACGCTGGAGGGCGGCAATGGGGAAGTGGGCGTGGTGACGAATCGAACTGCTGGCAGTTCGACGGAAGCGCCAAAAAACGAAAGACAGCCCGTGAATAATAACAATTTAGCGGGAAGCGTCGGCGCTGCGATAAGTTCGTTACAATTGCACGACGGCAACAGCAACAGCAGTCCCAGCAGCAACATCAGGCCCATCAGCAACACCAACTACCCTGTGAAAAATGACGACGACGACGACGACGACGATTTCGATGAGTCGCTGCTGCGTCGGCGTCGCAGCAACAGCAACAGCAACATCCACCAAAACCACGAGGCCGAAGTCGTCGAGTATTGCGAAGTGCTCGAGTCGCTGCCAGTCAGCAATATGTTGTCGGCGGGAACGCAACACACTAGCAAGCCAGGTGGGCAAAAATAAATTAATAGATACAAGAGAGTTTCTCTTTAATTCGAGAAGTGCACAGCGAGAAATTCTATGATTTTGTGTTTAATAAAAACAAAATAATTGCTAATTTATACAATTTTTGAAAATATTAGTGTCATTTTAGACACTCTACTTACTCAGTACTTAAAGAAAAATCAAGTTATGTGATGTTCAACTTATTTTTGATTTTTCAAATATGATAAACTGCAATCTATAACTATTAGTGATGATGACATTGCACACATAAAAACTGGATACCCTAAAACATTTCATTAAATCAACATTTGCTTAGTGTATTAAAATCAAATTCAAATGCAAAAGAGAAGTTTCTCTTTGAATTGAGAAGTGCACAGCAAAAAATTTACCAAGCTTTTCTTTTATAAAAAAACGGAAATATTAGTGACCTTCAAAAAAGTACTTTAAGGGAAATACAAGTGGCTAAATTTTCCTTATTTTTAAAATATCTGTAAATGTAATAATTTACAAATAAAAGTTAGTTACCCTAAGGCACTCCATTACATCAATAATTTTGCAGAGGATTAAAAACCAATTAAAATCTCTTTCATTCTTGCGTGTGTTTAAGTAAATGGTTTTTTATAGATATTTAAATATGAAGAACCACAAAACGATAAGTGATGACGTGATTGCCAACATTAAAATACAATATTCCTAAAAGTTCCATCAGGTTAATATTTTTGTAGTATAAACATAAACCAAAAGAAATAAAAAAGCGAATCTAATCAGTTTGATGACTGCATGTACTTAAAGAAACATAAACTTATGATTAATAAACGTAAAAATCAATTGTTTTGGAATAACAAAAATCGCATAGAGTGAAACACTCTTATCAGATCAGTGAATAATAAAAAATTTTATTTAACACCAACCGCAACAAAAAATATAAATTTAGCAATAACTTTCTCACTGTGCACGAGATAGTCAAATTTAAAGAGAATCAAAACAAATCTCATCAAATTTAAAGTGAACCAAATTAATCATAAATTGTTTTTCCCAAAATCAGTTTCCAGAAGCAATAATAGCAACAGTTGCTGCCGAAGTCGCAGCAGTAAGACATTATCCATGGGCGCGGCAACATCCTCATCATCCTCATCCGCCGGATCCGCATCCGGATCCTCGAAGCGGAGATGCTGCAAGTGCAAGTGCCGCGATGCCTTCCGAGGACTGAGGGACATGCTGCCGAGCAGCAATTCAGTGAGCAATAAGAAGGACTCCGGGGCGGTGGCGACGGTTCCGCGGAAATCCCGGACGGCGGATCGCCGCTCCACCCCGCCCACTTTGGGTTCATCGAGTGGGACTTCCCAGCATCGGATGCAGGGTCAAAGGAAGCGGAATTCCGTGGCGGTTTCTGATGCGAGCCATCACCATCACCAGGTGATCATTCGGATAACATCGCCTCGCTTTGTGGTCGAGTCGCCCAATGGCAACCGGGTCACTGTGGTCACCGAGTCCGCCGCCCCCCAACCGCCTCAGACTCCGCCCCAGCCACGCCCACCGACGTCGGCGCCCGCCCCCGGAATACCAGGCGTATTGGGCAATCCCGCACTCGGAGGTCGCAACATGACCGTGCACTCGCAAATCGATTTCATGCACTGCCTGGTTCCCGATCTGGAGAAGATCACGAATAGCAGCTTCTACTGGGGCAAGATGGATCGCTATGAGGCGGAGCACCTGCTCGAGGGCAAGCCCGAGGGCACCTTCCTGCTCCGTGACTCCGCCCAGGAGGAGTTCCTCTTCTCGGTCACATTCCGCAAATACGGCAGATCACTGCACGCCCGCATCGAGCAGAGCGGCCACAAGTTCAGGTGAGCACTCGTCCTTATCTGGGGTGATCTTCAAAAAGTTCCCCGATCGCATTTCCACTTAAATGCCTACTTGGGCGGTCATTCATTATTAGATTAATTCATGCATGTGCCGGTCAATGGAACATTGAAATTCTTCGGAATTTAGATTAAACGATTTTGATGGCATCATTAATATTCTAATAATATATGAGTTCATTATAATACAATTTATACTTGGAAGTGGAAATTTTTAAAATTTTTTGATGCGTAGTGCAGTTGATTTAGGTTTGAACCAGACTCGTTAAAAATTTAAAATATGAAACATATTTTAGTTAGATTTTCTGAGAAAATTATTAAGTTTTGGTATTACTTGCATTAGATTAGAAACTTAATAGGTCACTAGAATATATTATCAAGGACACTACTTTTTTAAATAAACCTCAAACTAATCATATCCTCCCTTCCTTTATTACAGCTTCGACTGCCATGATCCGTGTGTGTTCACGGCGCCCACGGTGACCGGATTGCTGGAGCACTACAAGGACCCCGCCTGCGTGATGTTCTTCGAGCCCTGCCTGACGATGCCCCTCCACCGGAGACAGACCTTCTCCCTGCAGCAGTTGTCCCGGGCCACCATCGTCACCAACACCAGCTACGATGGGATTAACCAGCTGGAACTGCCCGGCCGGCTGAAGAGCTACCTCAAGGAGTACCACTACAAGCAGAAGCTGCGCGTCAAGCCCATCGATCAGAACACACCGGTGCCGTACTACGGCGATGTATAGCGGGAGGAGCAGCAGGTGGGCTTCACCTACTACGAGGATGTGGAGAGTGGCAGCGAGGAGGACGAGGACGACGATGAGGGCGTGATACGAGTCTCGTATGTGCAACATGCCGAGGTGGTGGCCCAGCTGCAGCAGGCCACCACGGCACCAGGAGGAGCCCCTGGTAGATCCGCCAATCTTCAGGAGCAACTCAGCCGGCTGCCCAATCGCATGGTCGCCGCCTTTGGCCGGATGTCGGCCAATCTGAATTGCTACCAGAAGACTGTCTCCACTCCGGAGCACCGCTCCTCCTGATGGACACGAAGTAGCCGAAGGAGGAACTGCTACCCCCTATAAACCAAAACTCAACCAGAGACAATCCCAGTGCAGCGTTTGCCGCCACCATAAAGTTATAGATCAAACGCAAAACCATAAGCTACAAAAGCCCCAAAACGAAAATTGCTCACTTGCTAAAAAGACTGTCATGGCTCGAAAAACTCACAGTTTTACCATCTCCATTTGAGAATTAAATGTACCCATTGCATCTCATTTAAAAGAAAGTAAAATGTATTGATATTTTGAATTGTGACCTTCTTGTTAGTAAGTCAGCGAGTTGTAGAATCAAAATCGCATCTAGCTAATTGTACTATAAACTAAGTATTATTACCTAAAGCAAAAACCCTCTCCTACAACCATAAGCATTGCAAAATGGAAAGCCCATCGAGCTTTTGGTTTTCGCAAGTATTCTTGTAATATTCTGTTGTATTTATTTTAAAGTATGGAATCTAAATTATGTGTAAATATGATCTACAAAATACAGCCTAGTTAGTGTAAAACTCTCTCATTAGCCAAATTTCCAAATGTAATTTTCACCTATTTATAGTTATACCTTATTTATTTATTCGAAGTGATTTCGTTACCAAGCGAGTGCTTTGTTTTTACAAAAACTATCAGTTATACACGTGTAGAGCATTTGTAAATATTACCGATTTTCGCATAAGCTATAGCTATACTAAATATAATGAATTATAAATCATGTATTCCTACCTAGGTGGTTGCTGTTATTCGTAAACATTCAATAAGCAGTTGTTTCCAGGACCTATTTAATGTATTTTACATATCCAAAATGTTGATGAGCATGAGTATCAACATTCAAAAAACAAAAAATTAAGAAAGGAAGCCAAACAAATAAAGTTGAAAAAGATATTAGCAAGAGACTTAAGTCTGCGTTTTTAACTTTAGTAAGGGTGTGGAAGTGGAGTTCCAATGAAGGAGGCTTTTCTGACCCTTCATCAGCATTACTAGGGGAGTCTGACTGTTCGAGATGAAGCATTTCCAATTCTTCTTTCTATTGCAGGTAGTTTATAAGAATATTAAAACTAATTTTTTTTCCCATTATAATGGAACCAAAATTCTGTGTTGGTTGTTTTTGATCATATTCTCTTTACGACCTACGAAATCATATAGCCATAGAAACGACCGGAAAGTTAATGGGAAAATATTACTCTAAGGCACAGCAATTAAGATTTCAGAATTTTGAGCTTTATTATATAAAAGTCGGACCGGACGACTGTCATGGGAGCTATCGTAATCTTTGCATACAAATATTTCTTTAGTTTCTGTAGCTGCAAGGGTACATAAACTTATGCTTGCAAAAGCTAGGAAACTATCATGTTCAAAACATTTTTGTGGTTCTGATTCAACATAATTTCTAGAAAATCGTTATATGCAAAAGTATTTTTCATCGCATATTTCTATTTGGAGATAAGAAAACACATTTGAATTTTAGTAGTAGTTCATAGGGTTCTAGGAAAATTAACAAATTATATTTGCGAACGCTATTTTGAAAACGGTTCTAAGATATCAAATAGGTTCTAAAAATCATTTACCAAAAAAATAATCTGTTATTAAATGGAATGTAGAATGCTTTATATCGAACCCTTTAACATTTAACATTCGTTAAATCTTTAACATATTTTGATTAATAATAATTTTTAACACATAACTGTGGTACTAAAGATATTATTAATTTTTGTCTAAAGACCGGGAATAAATAAGAATAGTTGTCCCCAAGTATTTGTGTTAATCTTTTAGTTAAATTTAAAAAATTTAAATTAAAATATTACTTTTAAAATAATAATTTAATGTTTCTTAAATAATTTTGATAACGGTTTATATATGATCGTTTGGCGGGGATGGCGCCACCTGGTATATACCAAATGAATATTCAGTATATAACGCTTAGCTGCACTGTTTGGGGGCAATTTGCGGCCAGCCGACGACTGGTCACACTGCTCTGGTCGCGTCAAAAAAAGTCGGTGTACAATTTTTCACCACTACGGTTTGTTTTTTTCTGGCCGAGCACAGCACCTCCGATTTGCGATCCGTTTTCGGATGATAGCTCTGAGTGCGCTGCTAACCAAATACACGATCGGTATTATGAGCAACCTAAGCAATGGCAACAACAACCAGCAGCAGCAGCAACAACAACAGGGACAGAACGCACAACAACAACAGGCCCAAAATGAAGGGGGAGCGGGGCCGGAGTTTGTGGCGCCACCGCCCGGATTAGGAGCCGCTGTGGGCGTGGCAGCCATGCAACAGCGACAGCGCCTGCTGCAGCAGCAACAGCAGCAGCAGCAGCACCAGAATCCCGCCGCCGAGGGAAGCGGTCTGGAGCGGGGCAGCTGCCTCCTGCGATACGCCAGCCAGAACTCCCTGGACGAGAGCTCCCAGAAGCACGTCCAGCGGCCGAATGGCAAGGAGCGCGGCACAGTGGGCCAGTACAGCAACGATCAGCACACTGCGCGGTCCTTCGACGCCATGAACGAGATGAGAAAGTAAGGATATCCCTAGATCCTGTCTGAGAATCTATTTCAATTCGATCCTCTGAGTTCCAATCCCATTATTAAGCTACCTGCGAATGGGTCATTAAGTTGAAGCCTTTAAAAACGCGGATAAGTAACTTCTTTCAGTTCGATTTGACCATCTGTTCTGGCTACAGATAGGACCATTCTGTTATACCCCTTAATATGTTATATTTTGAGAAACCGCAGTCAAGTAGCAGTAGTAGTAGTAGAGATTGATAAGAGGTTGTTCAAGAACATTTTAGGTAACTGGGTTCTTACCTTATCTGTATGTTTCTTACAATTCAAATAATTGCGATCTATTTCACTTGAGCAAATTATTCAAGAGCTAGCCTCGCCTATATTTGTCAGAAACCTGTATAATCCATATTGTTTTTAATTATTGGCATTGTCAGCATTGCTTTTCATAAACTGGTGATTAATCTTGTTTAACAGCCAAAAAATGTAAAGACATGTTCAAAAAATCTAATAACAGGTTTACTTATTTGTATAAAGCTAACCTTATACAGATTATTTGTTTTATCAGTGGAATTACCTTTAACAATTTTGAAAAAATAGATAACTTAATATTGCTTCGTCATTAATTTATTCCTTGGCCATTAACTCAGCCAAACCTTAGTCATTTGCATACAAAGATATGTGAGTTCTGTGACTTTTTGACCTACCTCAAAGTATACCTACTTTTACCGAAACAGAATTTATTGTATAGGTTTATTCTATATTTAAACCACCTCCCTTTGTTCCCGAACAAAGGCGACATAATTAAATCCCTATATTGGACGGGACAGGTGGGCCGTCTGTGACTCGAGATTTCCGATTTGGGCCAAGATGCGAAAATATAATCGCTGAAAATGTCGGACGATCGTCACTCGCATATTTGCGCAGTTCGCTTTGTTTATCTGTCCGTTGCTAATATTTGTGTTTGCACACTATATTTGCCGACGCTTTTGTCGTGGGGGCATTCGCATTAATTATTGTCTAGTATTTATTATGATGAGTTTACGCCTTCGGGTTTCGCATTGGGCCACGACCTTGAACTTGGCGGGGCCAAAGATATTTCGGTTTCGAGTCTTATTTCGATTTCGCTTCCGCGTCTTCGCTTATGGCTATCTGGAAAAGTACTGGCAGCGTGGAAACTTTATCGGCAGCTTACATAAAACAAGTTTTTTAAAGCCAATCGGAATCGGCGTCAAAAGTGAATGTGGTGTAACCCAAAAAGTAAACCAAGCGTTTTAAACTGGATTTATGATTGGGATGGTATATAAACAATTGATTTCGGGAACGTAAATTTATAGGTTTTATTGTGAACACTTAATGTTTGTCATAAAATTCTTAAAATAATAACCGCAAATAATCTTCCAATTTTCCGGACAAAAAATTTTAATATTATGAGAAGTCATAAAATTGTAGCGCGCGCAGCTTTGCAAACAAAGCAAAATAATTTCCCGAAGCTATATTTACAATGCAAAACATACTTCCACGAAAAAAAACGAACACCTCAATTTACAAACATCGTTAGCCTTGAAAATAATTGGCACACTTTTAAGCTGTTTATTTGGCAATCAATACCGTCTATTAAGGGAACTCAAGGGGTACATAAATAAATGGAATTTTGATTTGTTTGGAATCGTCCAACTTAAGAGCTGTAATTTTTAATGACAGTCGTTAATTTCAAGGAAAATACTTTGTAATAAAACTAAAGTAAAACTTTCAACTTAATACTTGTTTACTTTGTAATTTTCAGACAAAAACAGCTCTGTGATGTGATATTAGTGGCTGACGATGTGGAGATCCACGCACATCGCATGGTCCTTGCCTCCTGCAGTCCGTACTTTTATGCGATGTTCACCAGCTTCGAGGAGTCGCGCCAGGCCAGGATCACCCTCCAGAGCGTCGATGCCAGGGCCTTGGAGTTGCTCATCGATTACGTTTACACTGCCACCGTGGAGGTGAACGAGGATAACGTACAGGTCCTCTTAACAGCCGCCAATCTTCTCCAGCTTACGGATGTGCGAGATGCCTGCTGCGACTTCCTGCAAACACAGTTGGATGCTAGTAACTGCTTGGGCATCCGGGAATTCGCCGATCTTCATGCCTGCGTGGAGCTTCTCAATTACGCAGAGACCTACATCGAGCAGCATTTTAAGTAAGTGGAAAAAGATTACGATGACGCACTATGGGTACACAAATATAAAATGGTTTTTATTTGCTTGCTAACAGATTAGAATCGATTGACTTTTCAAATGTATATGTTGGGAAACCTAATTAATTTAGTTCTATACGTTGCGTTGTATTTATTTTTATCAGCAATTCATTTTCTCGAAAAGTAACATTTAATTCATTATTGATTCAACCAGCATTTAAACAGATTGGAAAGTAATAGCTCGCATAGTAGAAATCAGCACAATTAACAACAGTTTAAAATGCTAATTATAATTATTCAGTGATCGGTTACCTAATATGTATAATACTTGTTGAAAAGACTTAAAGATTAGGAAAATAATAATACGGCATCAAGTTCACGTGCTGTTTGTTCAGACTGTAATTATTTTTGCTTATATTATTAAACAATGAAATGCGATCTTTAGTATTCATGGCACATTTTAAATTAAAATACTTTAAGTTCAACGTTTTTTTCGTCAGTCATTCAAAATATACTACCAAATCGTTATTTATAAGACAATCACGTATTGATGTCTACGAGCACCTATAATGCCGCAATTCTGGGGTCTGTTATAAGATCACGTTTTAATTGTTATTTTAAAGAAACTTTGTTGTAGATTTGGTATACAGTTTAATTCTAGTAAGAACTAAATTTCATACTATTAATTAACTTAAATTCATAGTTAAGATTAAACCTAAGTCAAATCATGAACCAAAACAGCAATCTTTTATATTAATTTAATTGTTAAGTGACTCAAAATCGAAAGCAAATGTGCAGTTAACTAAATTTGAACCGGTTTGCTGGCGATTAATTGAATTTCGGCTTACTGCACTCCGCTCCTTACTTGTGCCCCAGTACTGACTGCTTGACTTTGGTTTTTTTACAGCGAGGTGATCCAGTTCGATGAGTTTCTGAACCTCTCACACGAGCAGGTCATCAGCCTGATAGGCAACGACCGGATTTCGGTTCCAAATGAGGAGCGCGTCTACGAGTGCGTCATCGCCTGGCTGCGCTACGATGTCCCGATGAGGGAGCAGTTCACCTCGGTGCTGATGGAGCACGTGCGCCTGCCGTTCCTGTCCAAGGAGTACATCACACAGCGTGTGGACAAGGAACTCCTGCTCGAGGGCAATATCGTATGTAAGAATCTTATTATTGAGGCGTTGACCTATCACCTACTGCCCACGGAGACGAAGTCCGCAAGGACAGTGCCCAGGAAGCCGGTGGGAATGCCCAAAATTCTACTCGTTATTGGCGGTCAAGCACCCAAGGCTATACGCTCCGTGGAGTGGTATGATCTGCGAGAGGAGAAGTGGTACCAGGCTGCCGAAATGCCCAACCGAAGATGTCGCTCTGGCTTAAGCGTCCTGGGCGATAAGGTCTATGCCGTCGGAGGCTTCAATGGTTCCCTGCGCGTGCGTACTGTGGATGTCTATGATCCCGCCACGGACCAGTGGGCCAACTGTAGCAATATGGAGGCCAGGCGATCTACCCTAGGAGTAGCCGTCTTAAATGGATGCATTTTTGCAGTGGGTGGCTTTGATGGCACAACAGGTCTTTCGAGTGCCGAGATGTATGATCCCAAGACTGACATTTGGCGCTTTATCGCCTCCATGTCGACGCGTCGCAGTTCTGTGGGCGTAGGCGTGGTTCATGGACTTCTTTATGCCGTAGGCGGCTATGATGGCTTCACCCGTCAGTGCTTATCATCCGTGGAGCGCTATAATCCGGATACGGACACCTGGGTAGCTGTGTCAGAGATGAATTCGCGGAGGAGTGGCGCCGGAGTGGGAGTGCTGAACAACATCTTGTATGCTGTGGGTGGACACGACGGTCCTCTGGTCAGAAGATCCGTGGAAGCCTATGATTGTGAAACGAACTCGTGGCGTTCGGTGGCTGATATGTCCTACTGTCGCCGAAATGCTGGTGTGGTGGCTCACGACGGCCTGCTGTATGTGGTCGGTGGCGATGATGGCACCTCGAACCTCGCTTCCGTGGAGGTCTACTGTCCAGACTCGGACAGCTGGAGGATATTGCCTGCATTGATGACCATTGGACGCAGCTATGCAGGCGTGTGTATGATCGATAAGCCCATGTGAATGGAAGAGCAGGGTGCATTGGCCCGGTAAGTACATTGAAATCTTAGTTACCTAAACAAATCATAAGGGTTTCTCTTCTCCCTCCCAGCCAAGCTGCTTCGCTGGCCATCGCACTGCTGGATGATGAGAATAGCCAGGCGGAGGGCACGATGGAGGGCGCCATTGGTGGTGCCATCTACGGCAATCTGGCTCCAGCTGGAGGGGCAGCAGCGGTTGCTGCTCCAGCTGCGCCGGCTCTAGCACCTCAGCCAAATCATCCGCACTACGAGAACATTTATGCGCCCATTGGTCAGCCCAGCAACAACAATAACAACAGTGGCAACAACAGCAATCAAGTTGCAGCTGTCGCCAATGCTAATGCCAATGTCAATGCCAATGCCCCTGCAAATGCCGAGGAAATTCAACAGCAACAACCACCAGCGCCAACTGAAGCCAATGCCAACAACAATCCGCAACCGCCAACAGTACCAGCTCCAGCACCACCACAGCCACAACAGCAATCACAGCCACAACAACAACAACAACCTCAACGCATACTGCCCATGAATAACTATAGAAATGATTTATATGATCGATCTGCCTCGGGAGGAATCCTTGGATCCAGTAGCTCTGCCGCTTATGATGTTCCGAGAGCCGTGAGATCTGGCCTCGGATACAGACGTAACTTTCGGATAGACATGCAGAACGGTAAGAATCGAATCTAATGTTGAGCAAACATTGGTTTGATTAGGTCGATTAATCAATCTTTTACTTAAATTAACCCGCTTGACTTTAAAATCTTTGCCAGTATTAGTTTGCCTTGCATCCCGTGAATTTTATACGCAAACTCAGTTTTAACATTTATTACGAAGCTGTGAAAAAAGAAGCCAAACAAACATTAGTATACAAACAAATGGAAAATATTTGCTAGCATTGGCAAACGAAGTTCAAATCAATTATTAGTTTCGGATCTAATTGGTCCAAATTAAAGTCAACATTTAAACTCGTATATTTATACAGTTGTGTTGATCACCTGCAATGTTTATAAAACTTACACGAAATTTAAATTTTTTTTCCCTAGGAAATCGTTGTGGAACCGGACTTCGCTGCAGTCCTCTATATTCGAACAGTCGTTCCAACTGTCAACGTCAGCGAAGCTTTGATGATACGGAGTCCACAGATGGCTACAATCTGCCTTATGCCGGAGCGGGAACTATGCGTTACGAGAATATCTATGAGCAGATACGGGATGAGCCTCTTTACCGGACAACCGCTGCCAATCGAGTGCCGCTCTATACACGTCTCGATGTTTTGGGTCATGGAATCGGACGAATTGAACGACACCTAAGCTCTTCCTGCGGCAACATCGATCACTACAATCTGGGAGGACATTATGCCGTATTGGGGCACTCGCACTTCGGGACAGTGGGACACATTCGATTGAATGCCAATGGAACGGGAGGGGCAGCAGCTGCCGGAGCAGGAAGTGGCACCTGCAATGTTCCAAACTGTCAGGGTTATATGACAGCTGCTGGTTCCAGTGTTCCCGTAGAGTATGCCAATGTTAAGGTTCCTGTGAAAAACAGTGCCTCCAGTTTCTTCAGCTGCTTGCATGGCGAAAATTCGCAGAGTATGACTAATATTTACAAAACGTCTGGAGCAGCAGCAGCTGCTATGGCAGCTCATAATTCCCCGTTAACGCCAAATGTGTCTATGGAGCGAGCCGCGCGATCCGCTTCCGCCGGAGCTGCAACAGCGGTTGAAGAGCATTCTCCGTCAGATAATATTCCAAGCACATCAAATAGCATTACCAATAGGACCACGGGAGCCATTCCGAAAGTGAAAACGGCCAGTAAGGCGGCTAAAGAGTCGGGAGGATCTTCCACAGCTGCATCACCAGTTTTAGATAAAACTACATCCACCGGATCGGGAAAAAGTGGAACTTTGGCCAAGAAAACTTCTACAGCAGCGACACGTTCGAGTTCTTCCGGAGATGCTAATGGAAATGGGACCTTGAATCGTATCTCTAAATCCAGTTTGCAATGGCTACTAGTTAACAAATGGCTGCCGCTGTGGATAGGCCAAGGACCCGATTGCAAGGTGGGTAGTACTTACTCTTATCAATATCAATGTTTTCATTTTCCTTTAAATCTATCTTCACATCAGGTGATCGACTTCAACTTTATGTTTTCCCGTGATTGCGTCAGTTGCGACACCGCTTCGGTGGCGTCTCAGATGTCGAATCCGTATGGCACTCCCCGTTTGAGTGGTCTTCCCCAGGATATGGTGCGTTTTCAGAGTTCCTGCGCAGGAACTTGTGCGGCAGCAGGAGCACCTTCTACCATTCGAAGGGACACTAATGCATCAGCTCGCCCATTGCACAGCACTTTAAGTCGCCTGAGAAACGGAGCGGAGAAAAGGAATCCCAACAGATTGGCTGGAAACTATCAATACGAGGATCCTTCGTACGAGAATGTACATGTTCAGTGGCAAAATGGTTTTGAATTTGGAAGATCACGTGACTACGATCCGAATTCCACCTACCATCAGCAGCGACCCATGTTGCAAAGGGCCAGATCGGAAAGTCCTACGTTTAGCAATCAGCAAAGGCGTCTTCAGCGACTGTCAGCCCAAGCTCAACAGCAATCGCAGCAATCGATGCCTCCAGGATCGCCCGATCCCTACAAGAACTACAAGCTAAATGTGGATAACAACAGCTTCAAGCCGAAGCCTACGGCTGCCGAGGAGCTCGAGGGAGCTGTTGGTGGAGCAGTAGCTGAGATAGCTGCCCCGGAAGTGGATATTGAAGTAGTAGATCCGGTGAGCTGTAGCGATAATGAGACTGAGACAACCAGCAGTCAAAACAACCCTTCAGGCACTACCAACAGCAGCAATGTGAATGAGCACAATGATTAGAAGTCGATAAAATTAGTTCTGGCAGGGCAGCGTTTTAAGTAGTATATTAGTATTCATAGTTAAACTTCTCTAGAAACTTCTCAAAATTTTGTAAGACTTGTACGATTTTATATGGAATATAAGCTGGGTTTTATATTTTTTAGAATCAAAAGTGATAACAGTATGCAAGTAATTTTTTACTTGAATGTTTAATACAAAAATTCTTTATGTGCAGGTAATTTTTCATAATTTTTAGTCTTTAGGGACTTTAAAATTCAACAGTCAGAAGTTTAACTGAATTTAATTTCTAATAACAACGCTACTCTTAAAAATTGGATCTCAGAAAACAACAACAGCAAAGAAGAAAACGACCAAAACCAATTCGAGCAAATTAAAAACATTTTAACAATAAAAAAAAAACCTTACTTGTAGAATTTGATATTACTATAGAAATGGGCGACTTTGTGTAACCAGCCAAAGCTCAAGATCGAATATTATGTTGCGTACTGTAGTTGTAGTTGAATCAAGAATTTTTGTGTGTCATGTGAAGTTATAATTAACCTAAGAGCCATATCATATCACTCTCCGTAAACACTTTAAGCACACCCATAAGCAATATGCATTTGATATGATAGTTTCATTTTCCACTGCCTACTCTAGTTTCCATTAAATTGGCATTTGTCACTTGCTTCGTTTGAGTATGTTAAGTTATGGCTTTAAATAGAAACAATAATATTTAGCAAACTATTGTACAAGCTCTCCATTAAAACCTATTATTTAAGTCAATTAGAATTACAGGTATTATTTACATGCATATATATACAAACGCATATACAATACTCCAAAATCGGTACATAATATAATCATACTTACACGTGTATTGAGTTTAACTAATTCATAATAAAAAAGTTCAACGAATCGAAATGCGGTGTGCGTTGTTTTTCTGGAAGATTTTTGTTTTTATTTTAACAAACTATTATAAAATTGGATGCTTCGTTCTCATTGCTTTTTTTGTTCATATACACAGATACATTAAATATCAATACCGTTAAATTAAAAAATACAATATTTGTTCGTAATATACTCGTATTTATAGATATATCTTGCCTCGCTCCCGTCCTCTGCCAATGCCCTCCAGGGAATTTTCTCCGAGTGAATTTCGAACGCTCGAGGCTCGATTCGCCGATTTAGCCGATATGTTTTCGCTATGCTCCCTCACATGGATAGACTCAAAAAAGCATAAACACTGATGAGCGCTAATTGAATTTGCATAGTATACGTATATGTTTATATTTTCTTGAAATTTTGCTTCTAATTCGAATATTACGGGAATGCTTTACTCGTTTACTCGTTACTCTTTGAATATTTGTAGTAATTTGTTTGGCTGCAATTTCTCGCTAAGTCTACAAGCTTTGTCTAAATCGCTGATAATTTCTTTAGGATTAGATTTTATATATTTGCTGCTGTCGCTGCTGCTGCTCTTGATGTTGAATTTGTAGTATACTTCGTTTCACCGCCTCGTTCAATGCTAAACTTAAAATATACACGAAGAACTAAGAACTAAACTAGAGAAATGCTTTAAAAAATTAGCCCAGAACTATACAAAAACGCTTTAAGCGCCTCGCCTCCCTTTTCAATCCTTGCTCTAACCCAGATCAATTGCAAAAAAATTAGTTCACATCGTTACTTAATTGCCAAAATAAAATAAGCGACAAAAAATAAATTTTAAAAGGTTTGAAATCTTACCAAATTTTCTCAGACTGATTAAAATGCAAAAGAAAATTAATTGAACTTTATAAAAATAAAAACAGAATAAGGGATATTTTAAAACAATTGCAAAGAAGTGCCGCCTATGTTATTTTCGCATTTACATTCGCGATATATGTTTTGTCATAAACCCAGCTTTCCAGATCCCCACTCTCTATTTGGGCAACTCGTAGATCTGGACGGGCAGCGCCTTGGGCGTGATAATCTCATCCTCGAAGTCCTCGTCGTCCCCGTGGATAGCGTAGTCCCCTCCATTGTGCTCCCCCTCGAACTCATTGGGCACGATCTCCACATCGCTGGGTCGCGAGGTGCTCCGTGATCCTCCGCCGGAATCGCTGCCGTGCCGATTGGATCTCGTCTTGGTCGACTTGGTCACAAAGTCGCGCAGCATGTGCGAGTACAATATGTCGTCCAGGTAGTACATGGTGCCCAAGTTGTATACGAACACCTCACTCTCCGTAATCTGTGCATTATTAACGCTGGTATAGTTGCTGCCCGGATTCCGAGTGATCTTTATGTGGCCACCACCGATGGTCTCGAAAACCTCATTATCACGCAGATCCCGGTTGTACAGACGGCCTTTAACGAAGTGGTTCAGCAGCATTTTTACGCCGCGTTGTGAGGCCTAACATATAGGATTTGTTATATATTTAGTTTTTATAAATACATTTAATACTCACCATAACCTCATCTGATAGCTTGTCGAATCCTAGCTTTTCAAAGGCCCGATCCTCTGGCACAAAGAACGTGTAATTGGCTCCCGAAATGTGGGGAGCAATCTCAGCACTGTTTAGGTATCTTTTTGGGAAGGTTAAAATTTAATTAATTACCCATAGAGAGTTTTATTATTTCTATTTACTAAATCCTAACCTGGTAATCTGAGTAAACCGCGGATCTCTCTCCAAAGCCAAGAATGAATGGGATAGGAATTGTGCTCCAAACCAGGGGAATGCCAGCAGTGGAGGGGTCTCCTTATCTTTGTGCATCTAGGGTGATATAAACATTTAAATAATAATAATATAATAAATAATTATATATACTATAATATTAACTTTTATTATGGTATTCTTTGTTGACTTTCCCCCCATGAACAACCTACTTTACCCAGGGTGGATTAGGCATAATCAGCTTACCTGATGCAACTTGGAGACCACAGCTTCGGTGACGAAGAGCACCTCAGAGATAATGAACACCTGGTTGCCATTGGAGAGGTTGTAGTCGGACATGATGCTCACATTGTTCACAGTGGGGGTGGCTATTGAAGAAGGGGAAGCGCCACATACCGTTGTCATAAATTGAATTTGGGAATGTAATTTATGGTAACCACTTACGTTGTCCGTGGAAGACGACATCCTCGCCACCCATGGTGGTCACGACGACTTCGTCCATATTCCGCACATCGGACAGCCGCAGGGGTCGCTGCATGGGCAGGAAGTGGTTCCTAAGCACCGACTCGGTGAACTCGGGCACAGAGAAGGGGTAGAATCCCCAGTCGATGGGATGCCAGCGCTGGAAGGCGTTATCTGAGGGAATCAGCACCGTATACGCATTGTCGTCCATGATCCGGGTCAGATTGCTCTTGGAGAGGAAGTGTTGGAACACCTTGGTGCCCGTCTTCATGTTGGCCAAAAAGGACATTAGCGGACTGGCCTTCGACTCCTTGATAACGGGCTCCACCTTTGCATGCGCATTGGTAATGTTCGGCTGTTCCAACGGTTGGGGGTCGTTGTAGCGGCTGTATAATGCACAGGGAAAATATTATTATCAAATTTCAAATTATATTTTTCAATTTTGTAAATGATTATATTTCATAGTTATAATGTCTGCATGTTAACATTTTTTAATCTTCTTTGTAATTTATTCTGTAATGCGATATGTTGGTACTAAGTTTTTCTAAAGTGAAAAGCTCATCGACTAATTTGTTTTTCTGTGTGAAATGAAATGAATATGCATTAGATGATTATGAGGATGTGGTGGTTCTAGGTCCACAGGTTGAGATTGAGTTTCCCTCGAAGGCCTTGGTCCGAATTGCGGAAGAGGAAAGTTGCAGAGTGTGTGTGCAAAAGTTGGACCAGCAAAAAACTTTGTTTGCCGCCTGATAAATTTCGCATGAGTGCATTTTGACCGCAAACAAACTAGGACTAGGAACTTAGCAGGAGTACTCTACAGTGGTTAAGAATAATAAAATGAGTACAAATTGTAGGAGTATTAAAAACTAACATTAAGTTCTTCTTCCGATATAATATTTTTAAATAAAGATTTTACCAATGTAGAGCTTTACAAAATTTAAAATAGAATAATATTTAAATATAATATTTTTATTTTCGAAAAATAAAATATATTTTCCACAAATTGTAACGGGTGCATGCTATAAGGACTCTTTAAATAAAGATAATGAAAGTAAAAAAAACAATTACGATAAAAAATGTAGTTAAACTAACATTAAGCGTTATTTCCCTGGGCGTTATTGCATGCACCAAATTACAGCATTTATGGCATCATTTATGACCACTGTGTGGGAATGGTTAGTGGCCATACTCACTTGTTCGTTTCCTGGATATTTCGCTTGGAGTAGGGCGACTTCCTATCGCCCAAGTAACCATCAATTGCAATGGCCATCAGGTTCTCATTGATACGCAGCTTGTGGAGTATTTGCTGGCCATTGAGTAGCCAAACATTGTTGTGGGATTTTTCCAATTTACGGAAAACGATTTTGTGGCCGTTCCCATTGCCGAAGGACTCCTCCTCCTCCTTGCTATTTCCGTTCCCATTCCCATTGCCATTGGACACGGCGCTGTAGCTGTCGAAGATTTTCCCGGGCACCACATGCTCCAACATGAACTCCTTCAGCCGCGGCTTCTCAATGTTCCGGACATCGATTTTGGGCACAATCAGTGTGTAGGGCAGGTCTGCCGGAATGCAAAGGAGATGGGGAACCAGTTACCACGGGAATTGCTCACTTAAAAATGTAAACTGTTTTCGTTTCATTTACGGCTAAGTGCTGCGTTCAGCACACCTGAATCCCCAAACCTGTCCGCATGCTAATCAAGTAATTAACTTTTGGGTCCCGCCGAGGGGTACATCTTTTTTTGAGGGCGTGTAGTCTACGAAAATGCGTGGGTTTAATTAACTTGTATTATTATGGCACACGCGTCTTGGGCTCTTATTTCGGAAGGTGTGCCAGAAGCTATTTTCAATGATTCCTAATTACTTTATGTCTTGTTTCTAATGCTACGAAGTTGGTATTATTTTTTAATTTTTTTTCAGGTTAATATTCATTAGCTGTACTTTGGACACAACACAAATTAATGTAAATTAATTCTTAAAAAAAACTATTGGAAATTACATTGGTTACATTTTTACTTTTACTTAATAATTTTAAAGATTTATAGTTTATTTTAAATGGTAACCAACATGAAATTTATGACTTTTTTCTTTTTTCGCTAATTGACCATTGGTTTTAACATTTCTTGTCAAACTTGATGCATTGATATTTCTTTTTTTGTTCACTCTGCAGTAAAAATGTTTTTATTCCCTTACGAATACATTAAGAAACAAAAAACCTATTTCTGAAATTTAATTCTTTTCACCATGATTAAACAAAAAGTATACGGCTCATCATTGAAAAACAATAATGCGTGTCATATTCCAGAAATTTAGTTTGGTGCTGTAGCAAACTTGCAATCCCCAACTGTTGAAGTACATATCCTAAAACTGTATGTATCCTTTTAGTTTTCATATCCCCACCCAACGGTAATGGGTAAATTGACTATTTTTTGTTTATGATCAACATTTGGACAGCTGAACGAAGTCATTTGTCAACGTCACACATTTCCATTTCCCCATTTTCGGAGTTTCCTGACTGTCTCGAGCTGTTTCGGGGAGTCAGTTGCGCCATGTCCTGTCTAACGAGCTTTCTGCAGCTGCTGCAAGTGCTGACAGCACTTTCGGGTTGCAACATCTACAGATATGTCGAAGGCAGGCGGGTGTTCAGACTGAACCAAAAGATTAATTTTCTGGTGGGGGCGATGCACAGATTCTGGCTGCGACCCTGGCTGCTGTTGATATTTCTGATGCACGTAATCCACTGGGGATTGGAGTTCCTCCGCGGACTAACGGATCCCAATCCCGGCAGCGAAAGACCCCTGAATCTTATC